GTCAGCATGAATGTTCCAGTAAAGCCAATCGACAGCTGGTCAAGAGGAATCCACCGTCGTCTTCTGGTGGTGGGACCGACCTTCGAATCTCTTCACCCAATACTTGCACTCGAAATGGAAGTAAGCCCAACAATTATGCCACAAGAGATTCCTCGAAACCAAACTTTTCTTCGCATATTTTCTACATAACTTGACCTAGCCATGACTACCAGCACTCTATCTTTGTCGGCTTTCATAGAGATTAGGTTATTGCGATTTAAGTATCCAGAAACCCTGATTTAGAAGACATGATTGCTTTGGCGAGATTAATTGGTCGAAATGAGGAATCACTTCCAACTTAACACTATTCATCACCTCCTCAGACAATCTATCAGATAAGCTAATTAATTCAATAAGTATTTCCAGAGAATGGTTAACCTCATTTTGAGGATACAAGTTCCACACTATACTCCAGCGTTAGATTGGATTAATTGCTTACCTTATCCTTCCCCAGTTTGTTGTAAGCATGGTTACTATGACTTACTTAAAGCGCAATGTTTCCCGATTTAATTCTAATTACTAAGTTCATAAGTTTCCTATTGTGTATCCGCCTAGTCATTCTACCAGTGGCCTATAACTTAAAGAAAGCCGCATCAGTCTGCAATCACACCATTTCGTCTAGAGTGATGAAGGACTGCAAGTTGCATTTTCCCACAATCATGTGAGTAGAGCTGACGTTTTCATCGAAAATCACATGAGCTTACTTTCCCAATTGGAGTAGACTGCAGTTTCGTCATCGGCAAGATAGAAAAGCTAATCAGTAACTAAAAATGCAATGTCGTCGATTGCTATAGCAAATATAAGTTTGCCGCATCGACAATCCCCACATAGAATGTTATATGGAAAATGGCCGACATGCCTTTAAATTCACATCTGCCCTATGACGCAAATGCACTCCTGGCAATGAGGCGTAGGGATTAACGCGCCGAGATTGCATGCTTCACTGTCGGGCATCGACGTTTGTTGATAGGATAGGCTGGGTCGAAACTGCAGTCCACCCTGGATTAGAATATCTTTGGGGAAAACAGGGCTATGTAAACTTCGATGAAATTGTTAGGTCACATAATATCATAATGTGAAAAATTCCATATTATCCTTATGTCTTTAAACGGAATAGGGTGAAAGAAACTCTTTCTTATTTTTCTCCTTTTCCTACTCC